GGAGTTGTGGCATTTCATTTTTCTGAGCTTGCATAATGTAATGCACATTCAAGGGGAGGGGTGGCAGGAAGGAGTTCCCCATAATTTCCTGGAAGAAAAATGCCAAAGCCCAAATTAAATCAAGGTGAAGGTAGTTTGTATAAAGAATAGCCCCATTAACAATGAGAAAGAAAATGCTGATCCCATGAAGAATATTAGAACAAGCACTCACAGAGAAAATACAGAAACTAGGTATATTATTAATATGCATACAATCACATTTTTATTAAACAGGAAGTCCTGTTTTGAAAAAATACATCATTGAGCAGAGTCTGAAATTAATCCTCAGATAGGAAGAAATCTGCACTACTAATATATTCTAATTATAATTACAACCTGCTCTTAATGTGAACATTCTAAATTATTAGTCACTTTATTAAGAGCCAGGAGAGGGACTTCCTGCAGCATAATGAGAACTACTCTCAGGCTTTGGGAAGGAAAAAATCAAGAGATAATTCTGCTTTGGGTTGGAGCACACTGGGTGTAATTTATTTAATAAAAGTGACTGGCTTCTCTTTTTTTGTTGTTCAGGAACTGGTACACCCTCTGGGGTTCCCACAGCACCAGGCTTCAGAAGGGCTATTTCTAGGGCAAGATAAAAATGTGTATTGTAGAAAAAAAACCCATTTATCATTGTAATGTTACATCCCACTTGAAAAACCCCTGGAGAATCCTTAACATTTGTATTTCCAAGCTGGTTTCCCTGAGTCTTCACAGGTAACAAACAGAGACTGAAGCCTGAAGGCTTCTCCCATTTGTTCCTAAAAAAAGCAGCTTGATTCTGAGCTCATTTTCATCTGGGGTGACGGTAAGGTCTGTGGTTTCACAGACTGATCTCTCCCTCCCTGTTCTCACTCCTCCTTCCCCAGTCTCTGCAAGCCACATCTGGGCCCAGTCATGGAAGACAGATGGGCTCCTGCTCCTTCTTCTCCTTCAATCCCCAGACCTCAGCCGCAATCTCAGGCTGTTTGAATGTCTTGCAGCCATGACTTCAATGGCTCCTGGGCAGGTACGCTCACAGTATTCTTCCTGGTAAAACATTCCACACCCACACACACCTCTTCTTTTATGGATGGCTTTCTCAATTTCAAAAATTTCCCCAGTTTCTAGATACTGTCCTTGAAATAATTCCTTTGAGTGCCTTTTTGTTACTTTATACAGTCAAATTCTTTTCCTCTGACATTGGACCAGAATGATCCTGAAATTAATCACTTTGGCTGCTGCTGTTATTAACCAAAGCGAGGCTCAGGAGGAGTTTTAATTTCTCTGACTTTGTGGCAATAGCATATTGTTGGCATTTCTTCTGAGGGTTAAGACTTCACAACCGGGAGTCTAGTCTGTTTAATCTTTCTCTTCTCCTTCCAATGGGACCAGGCTCTCAATGTGTTTGGTTTTGGGTGTGGGAACAAGGCTTTTGTAGAGTAATAATTGATGGCGATGGAATTTTTTTTTATTGAACATAATAAATCAGATGCTAAGCTAATGTCTTTTGAGAGTCTTCTCAATTGTCTCATGAGGTACTTTGTTATCTACATTATGTAAAAGAGGATGAGCTAAACCTCAAAGAGGCTGACTCATTCACAGCCACACAGCTGCCAGCAGTCAACACTGCCTCTGGATCCATACAGTGTGACTCTAAAGCCCACCTCCTCAACCCTTAGACAACTTTCTTTACTTTTTGAAACTGAGAAAGGCAGTCATAATGAAGAGATGTGTGCAGGTATGGAACATTCTAGAAGAACACCTGGAGTGCACTTACCTGCTTGGGAGCCATTTAAAAAAAATTTTATTAGTGAAACACCATGAGGTACAGTTGTAGACTTACAAATTTGGGTTTCAGTTATACAATGATCCAGTACCCATCCCTCCACCAGTGCTCATTCTCCATCATTTACATTTTTTAAAAAATTTTTGTTAGTGAAACACCATGAGGTGTAGTTGTAGATTTACAAATTTTTGTGCACTGGGACCTGTGGTGGGCACTGGTGGAGGGATGGGTGTTTGGGAGCCATTTTTAGTCAGCTGCAAGACATTCAAACAGTTTCCTATCCAGGGCTAAGGTCTGGAGTGATCCAAGAAGAAGAAAAGGCCCATCAACCTTTGGAGACTGGGCCTCAACCCTTCTCACCTTCTCTTAGCTTCAGTTAGCTACTCACATTCACTTAACCTCATTTTTCTCCCAGGGTGAGATGAGTGAACCCAGTCATAATGCCAGCATTCCTAAGGTGAAAGTCTAGGCACTGAATCTTGGTTCGCCCTCTTTCATACTATATGCTAGAGTTCACATGGTTCATCCCATATCCCAAGATGGGAAATACTTGAAGTCAATACTCAATGTGCTACCAGAAAGAGCCCCAATACTAATGTCAGCAGCCCTGAGAGTGGAACTAGTAAAACTCAGCAAGAGAATCAATGCAAAGTCCTAGGACAAGTTTTCCCAGGGGGACTGAAGTGCATCCTTACAACCTAGACAAGCTTTAGCCTGAGCCACAAACCTGAAACAAACAATCGTCTAACAAGCTGAAAGGGGATACATAAACTTTCCAAGGGGTGAGGTTGGTGCTAAGCACCATGCAGGAAGCGTGCTCTCAGCACATTCCAGTCTCAGTAGGCTGCAGCTCAGAGCATCCGGATTCCCCTTAATAATGAAGACAATCTACCCTTCTCCAACCTTCTGATCATCACTGTGCCCCTGTGGGGATTTCTCCACAGGGAGGATGGCACCGCTGGTTACCAAGGACTGAGCAGTTGGGTTTGAGTTGCTGTTTTTTAATTTCTCTTGCCAAGTTTTACTAGTTCCACTTTCAGGGCTGCTGACATTAGTATTGGGGCTCTTTCTGGTAGCACATAAATTTGAGGGCCATAGCTGGTGGTGCTCAGGGCTTATCCCTGGCTCTGTACTCAGGGGTCACTTCTAGTGGTGCTCAAGGGAACATATGGGATGTTGGAAATTGAACCCAGTTTGGCCATGTGCAAGGCAAAGCACCCAACATGCTGTACTATTACTCTGGGCATTGGGGCTCTATTTGTGTGAACAAACTAATTCTAGATTATGGATCTACCACTTTTGAGTTCAGTGGAGGTAAGTCAATGCCTCTGTGCCTCATTGACAGTGAGGTGAGTATGTCTGGACCCAGAGGCTATCCTGTTTCCTAATGACCCAGGGAGAGGGTCTTGCTCTCCAAGTCCCTGTCCAGGAAGCCAAAGGTGAAAATCAACCAGAATCTAGGGTGCAAATAAGTGAGGGAAGCCTGTGGACAAGTCCTTGTGACACTCAGGCAACAGGGATAGATGACTGCAGGGCTGAAGACCATCAAGTCCACCCAGTGGTGCTCAGCGGTCACCAAGGCTACATCTGGAGAAGCTCAGGGAATGTGGTGCTATGGAACAAACCAGGAACAGGCACTGCATCACTCCCCACTTCAGCCTTCCCCCCCACCAACACACACACATCACACATACCCACATCTTATGTTATTTCCCAGGCTCTCAGTCTTACTCTTGAGCCCTGGGTCATTAGACTTATCCAAGTTTTATTTCCTTTTTTTTTGGGGGGGGGCACACCCCGGCAATGCATAGGGGTTACTCCTGGCTCTGTACTCAGGATTTATTCCAGTGGTGCTCAGGGGACCATCCGGGATGCCAGGAATCAAACCGGGCTGGCTGTGTGCAAGGCAAACGCCCTACCCGCTATGCTATCATTCTAGCCCAAGACTTATCCAAGATTTTTAGCATGGATGGGCTTAGAAGAAGCAGAGAGGCCAGACACTAGGCCAATACAACATCCACTCAGTCCTATCCTGGGGGCTTGGTAAAAGGGTGCCAGTATTCCTAGAACTGTCTGGTTGGGAAAGCATGGGAGAGTGTGTGGGTAAGTTTAAGGGCGGAGTGAAGGCATTCCCAAGTTGCTGGCTTAACTCTTTTCTTTTCTTTGGCCACACCCAACGATGCTCAGGGGTTACTCCTGGCTCTGCACCCAGGAAGCACTTCTGGCAGTGCTCAGGGGACCATAGAGGGTACCAGGGATCAAACCCAGGTCAACCGCATACAAGGCAAGCCAACTGCTAGCCTCTTTACAGATTCTATCCGTAATTCCACCCCATTAGTTGGTGCCTGGGGACATCCCAGGACTGAGTGGCCAACCCTGAGCTGTGGTGGAGGAGACTACACCCAGGTCTTCCCTCCCCAGGAGGCAGGAAAGCATCATAGAGAAAACTCTCTTCACACCCCTGCCTCCATCCCTGCAGTATGGGCGTGCTCATGAATAAATGCATGATTCTTCGGATTAAACAATAGTTTCAGGAATAACATGTGATCTCTCTATGGATGGGAGAGCTGGGAGTGTGGGGCTCTGTCCTGGCACTGTAGGTTATCTTAGTGACATCTCAGCCCTCCACCTACTAGCAATGGTAACAGCCTGCAGTGGTAACAGCCTGCAATGTCTTCACAGACTTCACAGACTTCGTAGGACAGGAAGTTGCCCCTGGTTGAGAGCCACAGCTGAAAAAGGCCTCATCTGTCTCTCGTTCATTTGGGGTTAGGTTTAAGTTGTTCATGCTGGTGTTTGAAATTCTCCAGGCATCAATCCCATGAAACAGCCTCCTCTGATCTGTGTGCTCACCTCCCCTTTGTTCATTTGGGAACAGCCGACACTGGTGGGCAGAGGGCCGGGGAGCAGGGGTATGGGGAAGAAGGGGTACATGGTGGCAATTGTGGATTTAAGATACCTTTGCTGTTCCTGGGCTCTGGTTCTGGGCTTTGTGGGTGTTGTTAGTCAGTGTTCCCAAGAAGAGGGGAGCTCACTGACCATGAGCTTTCATTCTGCACGAGGCATCTGGGCCCCACCCCTGTGCACAAGGGTTGAGACACCAGCAGGGCTGTCCTTTGCCTTCAGAGTCAGATTCTGCCTAAGCTGCAGGGCTCAGACCCCCTTGCTACCCGTCAATAACATCCCCACTAACCTCTGTGTATGTGTGCTAGGGACAGGGTGACCACATGGTGGAGACACGAGTTCCAGGCGCTGAAAAAGTCCTCCTTCTGGGTGGTCACCTGGGAGAAGGACAGAAGAACAATCACTGCAGGCAATAATCCAAGAGGTTAGAACCACAGAGCAAGGCAGAGGCTCTTCGGGAGCCAGGAATCAAGTGAACCCCAGGATCACATGATTCCCTGAGCACCACTGCATGGAGCCCTGGAGGTTCTCAAGTACTTCCAGGGTGGCCTAGTGATCCCCTCCCTGCATGCCCAAGCAGTCATGCATCCTTGGACCATATGTTGAATTCCCCAGTCAGGCTGACAGTGTATCTCTGGGCGTGGACTCTGTGTGCTCTGAGGCACAGGCTCGCGAATCTCTCTCATCAAAATAAATAAAAGAATTAAACTTTTTTTTGGTCTACAACTGAAAAGGCAAGATTTTCTACGGAGAAAAATCTCAGGAAAATATATTAAAACTATTAAATCTCATAAACAGGTTAGTCACAAGGGATAAGATTTTGATACGGAAAAAATCAATTGTGTGCCTGTATTCCAGTAAGAAATAATGGGACTCAATAAAAAGGCAACTTTTTTTGTTGTTGTTTTTGCTTTTGTGTCACACCTGGCAATGCTCAGGGGTTACTCCTGACTCTGCACTCAGGAATTGCTCCAGACAAAAAGGTCTGATTTTTTAGTAGAAATTTTAATACTTATTTGTAAAGTTTACATGGAAAAATACAGAAGACTCAGACCTAAAAGAGTCAAAACAATTTTGAGGGGGGGAAAGGTTGTAGGATTCACACTCATGGATTTTAAGACACCACAAAGCTACAGTACTCTGGTATAGTGTGTCCTTATGATAAGAACAGAAACACAGATAAGCATAAAACCATCCTGACATGGAAAACCATACATACTTAGCTGGTTTTCAACAAATGCACCAGGTAACTTATAATATACTGGGGACTAAACAATCTCTTTGACCAGCAGTGCAAGAACTAAACACCCACATGCAAAAACAAATATAGAAATGAGTAAACTCCAACTTCAACTTCACAGCCTACACAAAAATAATAACAAAATGGGTCATAAATCTGGGAGCGGTATGAGTGCTACTCAGAGCTTCTATAACTTGACGCAACTTATAGAACAAAGCATGGGACACTGTCACTTTAGTGACACTGCGTTAGGCAATGGTTTATGATATGAGACTCAGGGAAGAATCCTGGGCATGCAGGCCAGAGGTTCACTGCAGGTTTCCCAAAGTTCTTCTTTTTTTTTTTCTTTAATTTTATTGAATCACTGTGAGATTGTTACAAGCTTTCATATTTGGGTTACAATCACACAATGATCAAACACCCATCCCTCCACCAGTGCACATTCCCCATCACCAATCTCCCCAGAATACCCCCCTTCCCCACCCTCCCCCTGCCTCCATGGCAGACAATATTCCCCATACTCTCTCTCTGCTTTAGGCATTATGGTTTGCAACACAGACACTGAGAAGTCATCATGTTTGGTCCATTATCTATTTTCGGCACACATCTCCCATCCCAACTGATTCCTCCAGCCATCTTTTTCTTAGCAATCCCTTCTCTATTCCAGCTGCCTTCTCCCCTCCACTCATGAGGCAAGCCTGCAGCTATGGGGCAATCCTCTTGGTCCATGAACAGAGTTCTGAGTTACAGCTCTGAGCACACCATTACCATCACTCCCCCCGACACGCACACAAACAGAAATGATTCAATGTAATAAAAATTAAAATTCTGTTCTCTAAAGACACTGTTCAAAAATTAAGTAATGGGGTCAGAGACAGAGTACAGTGGGTAAAGCACTTGCCTTGCCCTCCCCCTGCCCTCCAGGAGTGCTCCCTGAGCACAGAGACAAGAGTAAGTCATGAATGCTGCTATGGGTGGTCCAAAAACAAAACAAAAATTAGAATTCAGGTAATCACTGTATCGCTGTCATCCCACTGTTCATCAATTTACTTGAGCAGGTGCCAGTAACGTCTCTATTCATCCCAGCCCTGAGATTTTAGCAGCCCCTTCTTACTCGTCTTTCCCAACGATTGAGACCTGTTATAGTTACTGTTTTTGGCATATCGAATACACCATGGGGAGCGTGTCAGGCTCTGCCTGTGTGGGAGGGATACTCTCGGTAGCTTGCTGGGCTCTCTGAGAGGTGTGTATATATATATATATATATATATATATATATATATATATCACTGTCACTGTCACTGTCCTCCCATTGTTCATTGATTTGCTCGAGCAGGCCCAGTAACATTGTGAGATGTCAGACTTGTTATACTGTGTTTGGAATATGGAATACATATATATATATATTTCTCTTTTATGATTTGTTGTCTACTGTATGAACCCCACCAAACATGGTGTGGTACAATGAGATACCATCTCACACCTCAGAGACTGGCCCACATTCAAAAGAACAAAAGCAACCGATGCTGGCGTGGATGTGGCGAGAAAGGGACACTCCTTCACTGTTGGTGGGAATGTCCACTGGTTCAGCCCTTCTGGAAAACAGTATGGACGATTCTCAAAAAATTAGAAATTGAGCTCCCATTTGGCCCAGCAATACCACTCCTGGGAATATATCCCAGAGAGGCAAAAATGTATAGTCGAAGTGACATCTGCACTTGTTTGTTCATTGCAGCACTCTTTACAATAGCCAGAAACTGGAAGAAACCTGAATGCCCAAGAACAGATGACTGGTTAAAGAAACTTTGGTACATCTACACAATGGAGTACTATGTAGCTCTTAGAAAAGATGAAGTCATGAAATTTACATACAAGTGGTACAATATGGAAAGTATCATGCTAAGCGAAATGAGTCAGAAAGAGAGGGATAGACATAGAAAGATTGCATTCATCTGGGGGATATAAAGTAACAAAGTATGAGATTAATACCCAAGAATAGCTGAGATCAGCACCAGGAGGATTACTCCATAACTTAGAGGCCAGCCGGGTATCCTAGAGGAAAGGGCAGTTCAGATAGAGAAGGGAGCACCAAATAAAGGATGTTTGGAGGATCCTCCCAGGAGGGGAGATGCATGTCGAAAGTAGACTATGGACTGAACATGTTTGCCACTCAATGCCTCTTTTGCAGACCACAACACCCAAAAGGAGAGAGAGAACACAGGGGATTGCCCTGCCACAGAGACAGGGGGGATGGGGGGATGGGGGTGGGAGGGATATTATCCATGGTGGTGGAAAATGGGCACTGGTGGAGGGATGGGTATCTGATCATTGTATAATTGAAACCAAAGCACAAAAAATTGTAAATCTACAACTTTAAAAAAAATAAAATACAATAAAGGGAAAAAAAAATTAAAAAAAAAAAGAAAGTATCATGCTAAGCGAAATGAGTCAGAAAGAGAGGGATAGACATAGAAAGATTGCATTCATCTGGGGGATATAAAGTAACAAAGTATGAGATTAATACCCAAGAATAGCTGAGATCAGCACCAGGAGGATTACTCCATAACTTAGAGGCCAGCCGGGTATCCTAGAGGAAAGGGCTATTCAGATAGAGAAGGGAGCACCAAATAAAGGATGTTTGGAGGATCCTCCCAGGAGGGGAGATGCATGTCGAAAGTAGACTATGGACTGAACATGTTTGCCACTCAATGCCTCTTTTGCAGACCACAACACCCAAAAGGAGAGAGAGAACACAGGGGATTGCCCTGCCACAGAGACAGGGGGGATGGGGGGATGGGGGTGGGAGGGATATTATCCATGGTGGTGGAAAATGGGCACTGGTGGAGGGATGGGTATCTGATCATTGTATAATTGAAACCAAAGCACAAAAAATTATAAATTTACAACTGTAAAAAAAATAAAATAAAATAAAGGGGGAAAAAAACATGGTGTGGTAATGAAATTCAGGTAATAAATTAGGGGAAAAACAGCTGTAAAAACCACATATATTTTAATTTTATTTTCATAAAGTGGTTCATGATAATGAATTACATTCAATATTTCAACACCAATCCCACCACCATTACATCTTCCCACCACCATTATTTCAAATTTTCCCAACACCATTAAGCCTGCCCAACAGGCAGATGCTAGATAATGTATTTTGTATTGTTTGTTATGAATAGCATGAGATGTCGACTGTGGGCACCTGGAATTCTAAAATTTTAAATAATTACGATCTCAAGGCATCTCTCCGGTAAGCTTCTAGGTTCCGAGATTCATTTGTGAGCCTCTGGATCATGGCGTTAATGTGCTTACTTGGCACCCAGAGGCTATTTGTGGGGGTAACAGTCAGGACCCCGAAGGAGCAGGGAGACATGAAGGAGCGATCTGTCTCCAAGCCCTTGAGGTGTGGAGTTTGCAGTCACTGGTCTCACATACCTGGGCTTTTCATTGAAACCCACATGTATATTAAAGAACTTCTGTACAGAATTTATTAAGAGGGCCAAAGTGATAGAATAGTGAGTAGGGTGTTTGCTTTGAACACATCCAACTCAAGTTGATCTCCAGCATCTCAGATCGTCCCCTAAACACTGCCAGGAGTAATTCCTGAGCTCAGAGTCAAAAGAATCACTGAATGTAGTCCCAAGCAACAATAACCCCCCCAAAAAAAAACCCAAAAAAATTTATAAAGAGAACTTGTAACTCAATGATAAGAAAACAAAATTCTATTTAATAAGTGGGTGAGATTTTGAGCAGAGACTTCTTTACCACTGTAACACTGTCCTCCTGTTGTTCATAGATTTGCTCGAGCAGGCACCAGTAACGTCTCTCTTGTGAGACTTGTTACTGTTTCTGTCATATCCATACACCACAGGGAGCTTGCCAGGCTTTGCTGTGCAGGCAGAATACTCTCGGTAGCTTGCCGGGCTCTCCAAGAGGGACGGAGGAATCGAACCCGGGTCGGCCGCATGTTAGGCAAATGCCCTACCTGCTGTGCTATCGCTCCAGCCCAGAAACTTCATTAAAGAAGACAAATGAATGGAAAATAAACTTTATATTAAAATCACAATGAGATTCAATTTCACACACATGAGAATGACTAAATTGAGTTAGGCTGATCATACCACTTACTGA